GTCTAGCTATTGTGAATTGTGCTGCTATGAACATCGATGTGGCAGCATCCCTGTAGCATGCTCTTTTAAGGTCTTCAGGGAATAGTCCGAGAAGGGCAATAGCAGGGTCAAATGGTGGTTCCATTCCCAGCTTTCCCAGGAATCTCCAAACTGCTTTCCAAATTGGCCGCACCAGTGGCGCAATCGGTTAGCGCGCGGTACTTATAAGAAGCTGAAGACTTTTAACTGTTGTTACTTTGTTTCCCTGAAAGCCCTGCTCACAGTTTTTAATGTGCACATGAGGGTTTACCCAGAAGGTATACAAGATCCATGGGAGGAGAGCTTCCCTTTTATAAGGACTCTGGAGCTTCCACTGTTTCCCTTCCCAGTGAGACCTTCATCTGCTTTATGTAAAGTGGACCCTTAGGAGACCAGGCAACACTCATTAGAGCTGGAATGAATGCCCTAGATTTTAGGATCAGGCTTGAGTCCCCCACTATTTTCAACATCCAGAAAGTTAGCAGGGGAGCTTTCCCCAATGCTTTGGGTTTCCCTATGAAATACTCCCCACTCTCAAACACCTGTATGTCTTCAAAATTGGGACAATTTAGTGTGTACTTATTTATATAGCACCTTAATTCGATTAGTATTTAAAGGCTAAGTAGAGCAAAGCTACAGGGGAAAAAAAGCGACTTAAAAAATAATTGAAATTATGGGACAAAGGAAAATCAAAGATAAGAAGGCAAGATAGAGAAAGCCCAAGGATTAAAACAACAACAACAACAAAAAAAAAAACATGCTACCCAAGCCATTTCACACTCAGTAAATAAGGATCTCAAATCTGACTCCACTTTTTAGAAGCAAAAGGAGAATGTAATCACTAGAAGAACCACACTATAGTAAGTTAATTCAGAGCAAATCTCTTTCTAGAACTGAATGCATGAAGCAATATTTCCTATGAGTCCTTATTGTGAGAACATAACAGCACCTATTGCCTAAATAGAAATCACAGTGCTGCTCCTAATAAAGATAAAACCAGAACATTAAGCCTGTGGCATTACACTAAATTATGATGAAGCCATAAAAAAATAAAAAGAAAAATCAAATTGCAGTAAAATGTAAGGTGCATATGAGTTTAACCTTGTCTACGGTGTTAAACTAAACTAGGTAAAAGTCATTCATTCTTTTAGTTGAGTTAGATAATGTTTCAGGAGAATATTGCCAGTTCTCACATGGAAAGCCTATGCCAAAAAAAGCTAACATTTATTTTAAAAGAATTAATTGGTCTTTGGTTCTCCATCCATGCCATAATTATTATCACACTACTTTTTTAAAGGACCACTAGCAGTCCTTGATCATCAAATTCAGTCATCTGCACAAGAAAGAACACTTGCCCTTGGACACAAATGAAGTAAAAATTAGGATAGTTGAACCATGTACATATTCTCACACTGAATAGATCCTTCTGGCTCTTCCCATTGTTCCTTTGTGGATATTAAATCTCCTCAGACCTTTAATGACAAATGTGGTAAAATTTACCCTTAACTCATTTTTCCCTAAATAGAAAAAGAAGCCGAATTTTAGTCTGTAAAACCAATATAAAAATAAAGTTTCACTCAAGAAATATATTAGAATTTGTTTGAAATATAATTGATTTATTTTGTTTATATAGTATGAAAAAATAACCACTAATCTCCCTTGTAAATCATATACACCTGCTACACATAGGTGTTTGCATCACTCGTATAATTACACATAATACAAAGAACATGTTATTATAAATACATAATCATTGACTCTGCAAATTAGGGACAGGTTACTACCAAGTAAAATAAGAATTATTGAGTAAAAAGAAAGCAGATTTTTTGCTCTTTCATAGATGGACTCTATATTAACAGCAGGATCATTGAGTAGTCGCATAAAATATTTAGGGGAGAGTTAATATGATTTTCTTGGTCATCAGCAATACCTAGCTAGTCTAACATTTGCCTCTGCTTATAAAGTAACATTAGTACATAGTTTTTATTTGTATTTGCAAAACAAGTTACATATCTATGAATAAAGATAACATCACAATAGTGTCTCCTTTATCTGCAGAGGATATGTCCCAAGACCCCTGTGGATCCCTAAAAGTGAGAATAGCATCAAACCCTATATATACTATTTTTTCCTACATATCCATTATCTAAGATAAACTTTAACTTATTAATTAGGCATGGTAAAAGATAAGCAACTGATAATAAAATAGAACAATTAAAACAATGTACTTTAATAAAAGCTACTTAAAACTTATGAATTATTTCTAGAACCTTCCTTTAACATTTTCAGACTGCAGTTGACCACCATTAACTGAAGCATCAGAAAGCAAAACTGAAGACTTGAGGGGACTACTGTGATTTTGTGTGTGTGTGTGTGTGTGTGTGTGTGTGTGTGTGTGTGTGATGTCCCATCCCATGATGATACCTACCCCAGAAGCTCCAGACACTTTTTGTTAATAGGCATCGTCCTAGTATTACCATCTTTATTAAAAGACTTCATAAGTTTTTCCATTACTATAACAAAATACCTAAGATAAACAACTAAAAAAAWATATTTATTTTGGCCCACAGTTTTGAAGGTTCTAATCCATAGTAAATTGGCCTATTGCTTTGAGCCTGTGGTAAGGGAGCACATCATGGTGGCACATGTAGAAGAGCAAAAGTGCCAGGAAGAAAGGAGAGAAGGAGAAAGGAGCTGGGGTCCCCTAATCCCCTTTGAAGGCACACCTCCAGTAACCTAAAGGCTTCCCACAAGGCCCCACCTTGTAAAGTCTTACAGCCTCCCATTAGCACCACCCTGGGAATTAAGCCTTTAACACATGGGTTTTTAGGGGACATTCAAAATCCAAATTATAGCAGTTGTCATTATTAAGATCAGACATCAATAAAACAAAAAGAACCAATAGTTCAAGCTTTAATTGTGTTACTGGAAGTTATTGCCCAATACCACTTGCTCCAGCCAAAACAAGCAGAGATTATAGATTCTCCCCTTCTCTCACCCCAAACCTCCAACCTCCAATCCATTATGAAGCTTGCAAATTCCTACAGATGATACATCCATCTTTGTTCCTGCTCCCCGGCCATGGGACACAGGGCCGTGAGACTCAGCCAGGACCACAGCAGTAATCTCCTGCTGGCTTCCACTCTGTCCCCCCTCAACCCATTCTCTACTCAAAAACCCAAGTTATGTTCTCCAAGTCAGTCAGATTACACCAACTCCCCCACTTAAAATCCTTCACTAGTCCTATTGCTCCTGGGATAAATCCAAGCTCCTTGGGAGGTCCTCTGTGGGTGGCCCCTCCACTACCTTCACCCTCTTGCAGTCTGGGAGCATCCCCTTCCTGCCCAGGACAACTGTGCACTTCCTGCTGCTTCAGTGTGATGCTCACCTCACAGCTCACTTCTCATTTCCCTGCCTCCCCCTTAGCTCTCAAGTCTCAGATGAGAGAGTCTCCTCCAGTGAGGGTCCTCAGCACACCACCTGCTTCCTTCAGGCTCCTGCTTTTTGTCTGCCTTACCAGATGTTATATAAGAAATGCCAGTCCCTGAAGTGGAATTTTATTGAAAAAAAAAAAGACAGAAAGGAAAAACAATATATCAAAGAAATACAGCAATAGAAGTTTTTGTTTGCTCAGATCAGAAAAATTTAAAGTGCCTGTAGCACTCCAAATACCGATTTCATTGAGAATCCACATATTTCAATCCTACCTTCCTTATTCTTACCTGTCACTTGACTGAGAGATGATTCTTCTACCAGTTCAAGATGGTGCTCAAAAATGAAATAGAGTTCTCCAGATACAGCCCGTCAGCACAGAATAAATCCCATGTCCAGGATACTATAGTGTGGGCCTGGGTAACTCTATTCRTTGTTTTGTTTTGGGTGTTTTTGTTGTTGTTTTTGTTTTTATTGTGCAGTTCTGGTATTCATAATATCAATGGTAGTTGATATTATGAATGCCACCATGGTTATGGAGTCTCCCAGTATTCCTCAGCTTAGGTGGCTTAAGACTCTCATAATTCATCTGAAATGCCATTTTGGTGTTTTTATGCACTGTGGACACTGCAGCAATCTCCCATGATGGCAGTCAGGTCCACATTGAAACCAGGGCATCATGCTTACTGGGCAAGTGCTTTACCACGGAACTACGTTCTCAGCCCTCATTGTTTTCTTAGTAGCTGTGTTAGGCTATTGATTCATTTTCAGATTGATCCAGGTACTAAGATACATGCATCTTAGATGTTGGGTTGTTTGTTTGTTTGTTTGTTTTTTATTGAATCTCAGAGCCTAGAGTGAGACTAGTCTTGGAACATACTCTTTTCATTGGCCCATTCATCCCCCATTTTTATTTAGGTAGTTAATTTTAATAAAGCAATAATGACCTACAAAAGAGCCACCTGTTTTATCACATTGTATGTAAATGTTCAGGGTTTGCTTTTTTTCTCTTTGCTTTATATTATGAAGAGTTATCCACATTGTTTTGGTGGAGGCATACAGCTTGTTTCTAGGTTAGAGTTTTGTGAACAGTACTGCTGTGCATTTCTTGAGCATGCATCCTATTGTGTATGTCCATCTGTCTGTCTTGAGTGCATACCTAGGAATGGAATTGCTGGGTCATGGAGAATATGAACCTTCACCTTTTAAGGTGAGGATTAAGGATTTTACTCCCTTTTCTGTTGCTATAACGAAATACCTGAGACTGGGAAATTTACAAAGAATAGAAGTCTATTTGCTTCATGGTACTGGAGGCTGGGAAGTTCAAGAGCAGGGCACGGCACCTTCACAGCATCTGGTGAAAACCTTCATGCTTCATCATAACATAGAAGAGGGCATCACATGGCAAAAAGAACAAGAGCACTATCATGGGTCTCTTTTTCTCTTCTTACAAAGACACTAATCCTATCCTCATGACTTCATCTATTCCTAATTACCTCCCACAGGTCCCATCTCTAAAAACCATTAAATATGACTTTGGACATTAAGTTTCCAACACAGGAACTTTTAGCGGCACATTGAAGCCATAGCAGTAAGTTATAGACTATCTTCCAAAGTATTCACTCCAGGAAGTGTAAGAGTCTGGATCTCCACCAAACAAATTGTCAAGCTAAGCCCCATGCATGTATCCTGCTCTCATGAAACTTCTTATTAAATCTAACTGCCAATGTTTACATTTATCCCTCTTCATTGTCAACACTGGTTTAAACTCATTCTTCTGCCCTGGGAAATTACCTTTAATCCTATTGGTGGCATTCATAATATCAACTACCATTCCCTGCTTCCCCAATTCATGCTCCTGTGAAATGTTGATGAGAGCCAGGCTGGTGGTGAACACCTGTAAACTCAGTGACCTCCCAGCGACGTATAGGCTGAAGCAGGAGTATCACAAGTTGGAGGACAGCCTGGGCAACTTAACAAGACTGTACCTGAAAATAAAACAATCAAACAAAAAAGGCTGGGTGTGGAGCCCAATGGGAGAGCACTTGCCTAGCATGTGCAGGGTCCTAGGTTCAGTGCCTAGCACCCCAGCAAAGACAGACAACAAAAAAAAGCAATGATGGAGATAATGCCTTTCCAGTCAGAGTCTGCTCTGATTCAGGGCTTTGCATTTTACTGCTTTCGTTCTCACTGCATAATACTATGCCTGTTTTACAGAAGAGGAAATAGAAACAAAAAGAAGTTAATTAAGTTGCCCAAATTCAAGGAGACGAGAACTCACAGGAGTTGGAGTTTAGGCCAGCTCCATCTCAGAATTTAAACTTGATGTTATTTAACTTCTGTCAGTGATTACTGAGGTCTCCTTTCACTGTTCTGAAGCCCTGAGTCTTTATATATGAAAAGTGGATAATGGGACATTCCCCACAGTGGGCAGAGAAGTGTAGATGCTAATGTAACTGAGCTAACAGTCTACTTTTCTATTTCCTCTTTTCTTCCTTGCAAAGAATTAAATCCCACAACTCCTCTTAACCACTTTTTCAAAATCCTTCATATGCAGGTTGCAATGAAAATGCTCACACTAAAGTCTCAAGTTTCAATGATCAAATGGCAAATTAGATGTAAAATGATTCACAATTGCCACTACTGTATATTTTCATTTTGAACTAAGTCTGAATTCTTCACAGGTATAGAAGGTGATGAAGAAATTAGGCATTTGGATGAAGAAATAAAGGAACTAAATGAATCCAACCTTAAAATTGAAGCAGATATGATGAAACTTCAGACTCAGGTAAAAAAAATTAGTTATCTTTAAAATAATTATAATATTTAGTGGAAGCAAAACATTGATCTTTCTAAGCCTGGAAATATCCTGACATCTTATAGGGAATACACTGAGACTTTCTTGATTACACAGTTATTGTAAAATCCTGAACAGGTGGATCATCCCAGAGCACCATTGATTTGTAACTTTAGGCAAAGTTACACTTTTGCCCCAGTTGAATCAATGCCTTCATAAACAAATAAAGTAGCAGATCATTCTGTAAAGAGTCCTGTAGAGCATGTGGTGCTTCAGAAAAAATCATGAGGGCTAAGTGTCCTTAGGTTTATTTAAAGTTAAAATAAAACATCACAACTGCTTAATTTTTCTAGAATATCTCTACATATATAAGTGTTCGTTAGAAACAGGTCTTCCTGAACAAATGCTTTATCCAAAAATCTAAGCAGTTTATCAACTTTTCATTCTCCATAATGCCTGCCCCTGATTAAATTTTTGCAAATGGAAATCAAAAGTTAAGACCAAGATTTTTTAAATATAATAAGCGATGGATTAATAATTATTATGTAATTCCCAGAATTCTGTCTTCAGCCTGGCCTTCTCCACAACTTCTCCAGACATCTGCATACTAACTAATAACTATTACAAGTCAGAAGAAAAAAGAATGAGCCCAAGCAGAGGTGGAAAGKTCCTTCCCCCTTCCCTTCTTTCCTCTCCTTTCCTGAAATGCAGGGTTTTATGCCACCATGGTCACGGAGTCTCCCAGTATTCCTCAGCTTAGGTGGCTTAAGACTCTCATAATTCATCTGAAGTGCCATTTTGGTGTTTTATGCACTGTGAACACTGCAGCAATMTCCCATGATGGCAGTCAGGTCCACAAAAAGCTTAATGCTTTGGTTTGGAAATCACAGGAGCTTCTCATGGGAACCATTAACAAGAAATGCAAAGGCCTCTGCCCTCATGGAGATTGAAATTTAGAAGGGGAAGATAGAAAGTAACAAAAAAAATCATACACGATAAAGTCTGCTGGAAGGAGGGAGGAATGGGTTAAGTGTCTGGATTTCAATATTAAATAGGACAACCAGACCCAGGTGGGCTAGATGAGGTATGAAGGAATTAACCAAATAGTTATGGAAGAGAGTATTTCAGACAGAAAGAAACACCAAGTACCAAGGGCTGGAGATTTGAGAAATAGCAAAGAGGAAATGTGTCTGCAGGTGAGTGAGCTGGGAAGATCGAGGGCCACTCACATGGGGCATCGTAGGCCATTTTAATGACTTTCTTTATTTTTCTGAATGACTGCAGAACCATTGCAGGTTTTGAGCTAAGGAGTAGCATGGTCTTACTTGGCTTAGATTCTAACTTGCATTTGAAAGGTTTGTTCTGGTGGCTATGCTGAAGAAGGACCAAGAAGAGACTACATGAGGCTCTAGGCAGACATAGGACCACCCATGAAAAAACCATGCAGTCTGCACAGGTGACAGCAGCATGGCAACAGCCACATGAGTGGGGACAGTGGTCCCATTCTGTAGTCTTAAAGGAGATGCCCAATGGATTCAAGGTTTGAAAGAGAGTCCTGGGGACACCTTGAAGTCTGAGCATCACTAGGATTCCCACCAATTGGAAAGGAGAAGACTAGATAGAGCAGGTATGGAGGAAATAGCAAATATTTGCTTTGAGGAAAATTGAGTTTGAGATATTTAACATAAAGTCATTAGGAGACACTGGATCTGCAATCCACAGAGAAATCTAGGCTGAAGATATAAGTCTGGGAATTATATTATTATATAATAATTAATATAATTACTTAAGTTATTTATTATGATTAAATATTTATGTGATAATTAATTATTAGTATAATTAAATAATTACTATATGATAATTATACAATTGTTAAGTATTATCATTATAATTATTATTATTCCAACATTTAGAGCAATATGATGGGAATGCAATTTGGAGCACTGCGGTAGTGGCATATACATTCCTATACTGGGCCATGCATTTTCCTTCAGAGACAGACCTTTTGCACTCCTCCCAAACTCTACATCTCGTGTTCCTATACTATTTCCATTTAGATTACATCAATGGAGACCAACTTGAAGACAATAGAGGAAGAGAACAAACTCATAGAACAGAATAATGAAAGTCTGCTAAAGGAACTGGCAGGTCTGAGTCAAGCTCTCATTTCAAGCCTTGCTGACATCCAGCTTCCACAGATGGTAAGTTGAAGACCAAGACTTTGCTGCTCCATTGCAGGTATTGCAGGGACATCATGCAGTTGTTCATTGGGGCTTCTAGTTAGCAAAAAGATCTGTTAGCAGTCACAGAGATCTCCTGATTCCATCACGGTCTTACTACCAGTAATCTCCCCTGATGGAAAGATGGTAGATAGGTAGATTTAAATTATAGGAAGGCTAAGGATATTCTTAAAGACCAAGTTCATCTAAAGATGAAGGTTTATTCAAAGCTTGTTTTATAATATAATATGAAAGTTAGAGGACAAAACATCTTCACTGAAATATATTTCCAAGTGTAAAATTTCATGTCTTACAAAGTCTGAGACCCAGACTTTGCATTATCTGCCCAACTCAAGAATTATTTCAAAAAGTTAAGTTCCCAATAAACTTGTTTCATACAGAAGTATGCAGAACATAATTCAGTTCTCAGACAGCATAAAAACAGAAGTAAGCAAAGCATTCTTACTTCCAAAATCTAAACATGTATTTTAAGTATGCAACTATTTAGAATTCATTAAAAAAGTTTATTTTACATTTTTATAAATATAAATAAATATTTGGAGGAGGAGATGTATTGTTGAATATTTTAAATTTCTTCCARACTTACATTCCTAGAATAAGTTTTCTAAAATTTCTAATTTTGTATATAAAATGGTTTAAAGATGCAGCAGTATAATTAAGAAAAATAGTTGGTTTTGCTTAAAACAAAACAAATGCCTCAATTTACTCAGCTTTCTAGAATGGAGCCTTCATTTTAATTCCAATGTGTTTCTTGACCTAAAAAATCAATAGTACAATAGTCCAAAGGAAATTTATTTTTATTTTTATGGCTACTATTCATATAATTACTGGATATTATTTTAATGTTATTTATCAACATTTATCTACTTCATACTTTAAATTTTAGAATGGTAAAATTTTGCCCTTCTAAAATTTAAATTTTTTTTCTTCAGCCAGTGCCATATAAAAGATAGACATCATTCAAGATAACTGATACCTTTGATAATCACTATACAAAGTACTCCACTGGTAATTCTTTAATATGATCACATGAAATGTTGACAAGAGCCCTAAGGACTGCCATTGACATTCCCTTTCTGTAGTTGAGGGACTCTTCCATTATTTGATCAAGGTTCCAAAGCCAGCATGAGTCAGGTGGGTCTGGCTTCATGCTAGAACCTTTATCTGCTCTGCCACCCAGAACCTTTTGTTAAGAGAATGGCACAGAAAAGGCAGAAACTAAGAGAGAGCCAAAAATTATGACTAGACAATATTAATAATCTAGAGCAGTACTTTGCTGAATATGAACAAATACTCTTCAAATTTAGAAAGCTTGCCTTCTAAATAGCAGCAATGACAACAATATCATACATCTATAGTACTTAGACCTTTAAGAGTACTTTCTTCCAAGCACCTTCTGAAGTAAGGTGTATGTCATGCATGGGTCTTTCAAAAGGGGGAAATGGAGGCACCAGCAGGGGCTGAGTTGGATTCCCTTTGTGCCATGAACCTCCTGTCACTCATGCATGCCATTTAGATCTAGTCAGTGTGTACTCTTTGAAGCTTCACATTGGACAAAGGAGACACCAAATAGGATAAAGGTGAATGAATTTCAACTTTGTGAAACTGATATTCTACCTGAAGAGACAGAGAGATAATAAAATATATTGCAATGTTGCTGSAAAAGAAAAATGGACACAAAGGCATCTGAGGAGAAAGTAGAAATATTTTCCATCCCAACTGGTTGGTAAGCAGTTTGCTCAGATCTTAATCTCTGTTAAAAGAGCCTACTGGCGCAAGCAAACCTGCCCTCCCAACCTCAAACATCCACCTCCCTCAAGGAGAAGCGTCTTGTGCTGCACAAGTTCCATTGAGGCCACTGCTCCTCCCTAAAGAAATCACCCAGTTTTGAGTTCAGCTCAGCAGTGCACCTTATTTGGCTCCAAACTGACCTGCAATAATGTTTCAAACAATCACGTTTCTGTAATCCCATAAAGAGGAAACAAATAAGTCCCAATACACACTCAGATCTCTCCATTTTCCCAAACTCCAGTAACTAGGTGAATCCTTGCCTTCCCTCCCAGATCCTGAGTCACTCACCTTCTTTCTTGTTACTTGATCTTCCTTTTGCCTCACAGTGATTGGTTCAATATGTTTGTCTCCACTTAGGGACCTATCAGTGAGCAGAATTTTGAAGCATATGTAAATACACTCACAGACATGTACAGCAATCTGGAACGGGACTATTCCCCGGAATGCAAAGCTCTCCTGGAAAGTATCAAACAGGCAGTGAAGGGTATCCATGTGTAGGATCACAGTGCTGCCGGGCAACAGAGATCACCAACAGCAGTCAACTCCAGATGGACCTGTGAAAGGGGTTCATGTACTGCTAAGGCTTGGAGGTTGCCATATGCATTTACAACTGCAACATTGCACTAATTTTTCCCCAGCTGACATAAAAAGGAAAGAAAAACTATGATAGACTCTTTGGATTAAAAGCAATGCAGTCAATGATTAGATCTTATTTATTTTCATATGTTTTTCTTTTATTTCTTCATTGCACTCTTTCTTTTGTAAAGTATATGTAAAATAAATGTGACATTTTTATATTTTATTTATTACTAATCAAAGAGTTTTTTATCTTTTAACTGCATTTTGAAGTCTGCCATATTTTTACAAGTGTGTTTATTAATTTATTTTCTAATAGGACTTAAATAGAAATGCTATTCTCAAATCATCTATCTTGCTGGGTTAAAATGAGAAAACAAAAAAGTGTGAAAGAAATCCTTGTCTAAGGACTGCACTATGGTTCGAGTTTGATTTTTATTGCACACTTCTTTTTCCCCCTCTTCCACTGGTTTTTGTATTTATAATTGAATTTGCAGTAAGGTGAGATGCGTGGAAGGAATAAGAAGATAAATGGCGCCCACTGGTGGGGAATCCGCACTCACAGAAGCACAGACACTGGAAAACAGCCTGCTCAGAATTTGTTAGCAATAATTAAATATAGCAATCAGCAAAGTATTCAGCTTGGCTGTGTGGTTTTAGTTCCTATGAATTATTTATTTGAAATGTCTTAAAGAAACATAAGCATTTTTTAGTGATGCAGATTTGTCTGTTTTTCAAGTCATATCACATAGTTGGCAACTCTTATCCTAAGACGAGAAATAATCACTTGATGTGACCAGCCAGGCTTTCCTGCCATATGTTGGTACAATATACAAGTGACAACATTGGTGTAGATTTGTACTTAGCAAATGCAAACACATCCAAATGGAAAATTCTGTAGATACCATATCCCCTGAAATAGCATTTATCTTACTGGGTTTGACTGGAAAGGAATGGAAAATAGAGTAAAACGTGAAAAAAAAAAATATTACTTCAATCTGAATGATTACTTTGAACACTGGCAACATTGGTGTCACCATCCTTAGGAGATAGAATTCGATTTGATAAAAACCTTGCCATTGATACAAAGCATCCACATGCTTTCACACACACAAACACACAGGCACACTCACACACACACACACACACACACACACACACACACACACTTACAGACACCCATCCACACATAAAATTGAGCCCGAGATCTTGAATTTCTGAATGGGTCAGAGTTTAGTAGTTGCTATAGTAAAGGCAATGTCTATTTCAGGGACTGTAAAGTAGTTAAGCATTGTTTCAAAAGTTTTTTTATATTTATTTTTTTTAAGGAAAAGGTATAGACAACCAGCTAAACTGCCTTTTTGGTGTGCGCACACATTTCATGTGCAGACGTGCCTCAGTGTAAATGTACACATGAACTTAGTGTGGGCTTAATTTTCTGTGCTATAACAAAAGTGTTTATTTTTGATTAGCCTCATGGATATTTAGATTGAATGTGATGGCATTCACAGGCTTGATATATTCCACTCTTGCTAAAGTTACCTGCACAAAAACACGAAAAGTGATATCCCACAGTAATTCCACCTCCATGAAATTGTGGTCATTGTTATGCATCAAGTGGGGCTTCTCTTTGGTTTGGGGTTCATTTGAACTCTTGAATCTTAGTTTAGTGAAGATGAAATGTCTGTTCTTAGGTAGGAAAGGTGTTTATTTAAAAATCAATTTTAAAGAAAAAGCTACCATATGTGCTGTCTATTATAAATGGGACACCAAACAAAATTTTCTATTAAAGTTATGTACTTGCAAACATTTTGCTATACAGTACTTCATAGATGCATACAAATGAGTTCACTTATTACAAAGACAAAAGTTTAATTTGCTAAATATTTTAACAAGTTTGTTATATATTTTATTTAATTTAAAAAGAAATCTCTTACCAACCTATGTATTTATTACTATAATTTACTATGACTTCAGGTTAATTTATTTGTGTTTGCATAGATTGAACAGGATGTTTTTGTGAAGTATGTTGGTATTTATTTGCCTCCTTTGTACTTGATGTGTTTTGTAATGTGCACTGATTTTTTTCTTTTCAACTATGTTAATGATCGATACTGTAAATTGGGTCTTTTGTAAACAACAAAATGGCAATGATGTATGCATTTTTTTTAATTTGAGGTAGTTTGTTTGTATCCTGTTTCTCCAAACAATTAATATTTCTTACATCAAAGCAACAAAATTGTGTTCAGTGCTGTACATTTGGTGTATGGTAGGAAATAAAAATTGATAATGAGTTTGGCTGTGATCATTTTCAGGCTACTATATGGCTACTACATAGAGACCTATGTTAACCTCCCACAAAGCCCTCAGTTCCAGAAGGAGCCCTGATGAGGTAGACGTGCCCCTGTCTGTGAGAAGTTCAACTGTACTTTTGTTCTGACAGCTGGTCTGCTTGGCTTAGGTTTTTACCCCAAGTGAGGAGGACTTTTGGCCAGTGGGCGACTTGTCACCATCTTGGTGTGGCATATTCTCCAGAACAGAGATGCCTTGGACACAATGACACCTTCACTAGCATGAGTTCACCCAGATTCAGTGAGCACAAAGATACAAGCTCCACCCTTCTGATCCCTTTTTATTTTTTGTTTTGAAACAGGGTCTCACTAAGTTGCTTAGGCCTCACTAAATTGCTGAAGCTGACCTTGAAGTAGAGATCCTCCTGCCTCAGCCTCCTAAGTCCCTGGGATTACAGGTGTATACCACCGTACTGAGAGCTGGTTGAACTGTTAAAGAAAAGTGATAATTAATTCTTGACAACCCCTATTTTCTTGTGTGTTTTTTCTCACCTAATGTCAAACAGCCAACCTAACTTAATTTTCTAGTTTCTGCCCAGATATACACCTCTCTGGGACTAGTTAGCACTTATATGCAAAATGGTTTAGGTCCCCACAGGAAAGCCAGGGATGTATTGGGTAGACCTTCATATAACAAGGGTTGGCACACGACAGTTAATATACAGCATAGCTTTCTTTTAGTCACCAAGTTAACTTGTACAAGATGTGCAAGTGATATAGCCTTTGAAAATGGACCACAAGATGAAAATCTGCTCAGCCAGGTTCTTAGCTTCCCCTTTGCTGAGTTACATTTTTACATCTCACCCTGAGTATGATTTTATATCAGTGAGTAGTGCTGGCAACATTTCATAAGAGGAGTGCCCTTGCTATGGGAAATAAGGAAGGCATGATGAGTAGGATTCACCCATTCACACAACAGATGTTCAGTGAGATGCACGCTGATGCCAGGCCCACTCCCTGACTTCCCTGTGAGGTCAGCCTAATGGGTAGGGGACAAGGAGATACGCAGAAGGCCTTATGATTGTGATATACGTGAGCTCCTATGGCAATAGCGCAAGGGTTTCCTGGCACTGTGATTTCCTGAGAAAAGTCCGGGTTCCAGATTAGTAGGGAACATTTGAGAAAAGTCATTGTAGACAGCAGGAACCTCATGCACCAAGACAAAACAGTGTGAAAAAACACGGAAGGAGCTGCTGAACATATTTAAAATAGCAAAGGGAAAAAAAATGTAGGGTTAGAAATGAGAAGAAAGGTAGCAAAAAGCCCAGGTGAGTGGGAGAGGGGGTTGTAGTATAAACTGCCTGGCTTCAGAGTTCAAATATCTGCAAACAGATGTAAGCATGCTAAAGAAAGCCTTAAGATCAGGACTGGGAGGTAGCTCCGTGGTAAAGCACTTGCCTAATGTGTGTGAGAACCGGGGTTCGCCTTCCAACACCTATCTCATCACCCCCCCAAAAAATAGAAGAGTTAAAATCAGAGAATGTTAGGATGTCTGTTATAGACAATTTGGTCCATGAATTCAAACCATGAACATTCCTAAAATTGTGTTCAGTGCTGTATATTTTGGGCATAATAAGAATAACAATTTTTAATCATTTTGAAATGATATGAAAATCCTGGAGTGTTCACACATAGGACTAAAATGCTTCTATTGGAATCAAAAATTTTGAATGAAAAGAAAGGGGTGAATGATTCCTTGATCTGCCCCATTAGAAAAAAGTTTTAATTAACTTGTTCTGGCCCATAAATATTTTATTAATATTCATAAAAACTAATGTTTTCCTATGTCTCTTTCCACACATTACATCCATTTGATGGTAGTCTGGGAGCGGTACCCTGCTATTTCCTCTCATTATTCAGCAGATAATTATAAAGTAAGCAGATTTAATTGGCTAATAACTATCTACACTGTCAGACACAATCAATGATGCTTTGTAGACTTCATCTCACAAAATCCTCAAATTTGTGGAGTTGATATTACTACACTCAATTAACTGATGAGGAAACTGTTAGGAAAAAAGTTAGCAACTTGCCCCAGACTATAAAACTAGAAAAACGTGCAGACAAAATTCGACCTCATGTGCATTCAATTGAAAAGCAAACCACAGCTTCTTTCCCCTGCTTTTAGGAAAACTGTAGTACTGTGTATAGTTTTACTATGGTCAGAATAATGGCAGAACTCACCTGGCCTGCATTTTCAGAAATGAGTGAGTAGACTTCTGGACCTAGTGGCTTTAACCAGTGGGTTCTGTCTAGGCTCTTGACAGATGTTGTCTCATCTGGAGAAAGAAAGAATTTGGTGAGATTAAGTGGTGTGCTAGGACCCTCATATATTCCAGTGAATCTATGCCTATCTGCTAATATTAAGTTCCTGCCTAAATTATCTCTTCTAGGTTTCATAGCTTCATTGCAATGGAATTATTATGATTAGGGCTATATTGATAGAAACTGAAGCTTAAGAAGAACAAAGAATTTGTTTGATGCCCTAGAAAAATAAGTACCAAGAGCAAAATTCTGCTTAATTCTTACCCAAAGATGAGCTCCTATCCTTCAGACTCTATTCCTGCCTCC